CTKCCTAACCCTGCACTGCACACTGTGCATGCTTCCACTTTATCCCAGATTTTGCATTACCGCTATCTTCCCAAAATAGTGGATATAACCTCGCTGGCCCCAGATCCAAGGGATGGATCTCAATCTAAGATCATGCTATAAAACACAAGGAAAATAAAATAGGAAGTTGCAGGTAACAAAGCAGTGACACAGTGTCATTTTTGTACTMCATAAATACAACAAAACAGTTATTCTCAGCTGACACCTTCCTCTCAAATTACTCTTGTTCCTTGTGTGAAGAGTTCCATCAGTTTTTACTCCGCACTTTCAGTAAACAACTGCACTGTTTGCTGTTTTGTAAAGAAAAAAGSTGGAACTGTAACTAAAAGGGTGCATTGGCTGACTCCTCACCCACTGAACTTTTCCCTAAGGCATTGCAGGAGATTAAAGAAAGGACCAGCAGCTGCATCTGTCTTCTGCTGGAAACATGACCTGCATCTTTACTGTGTTGTCAATCCATGGAAATTATCTACTTATAAAATTCCATTTGTAGKGAGCTTTCTTGTATTAGGACAAAATCACTACATTTAGCACATTAAGCTACCATCATATTTTTAAACGTCTTTTAACAAGAACATTGTACTAGAATTATTCCATTATTTATTTTAAATTTGGACGTTTTGTCTGTAGCATTGCCAAACTTATTTAACAATAAACACTTCTGAAAAGTTGTATRGTACAACTTGGGAAATAASTTACAAGCAATTGAAAATAAKTGTTGATAATAAAAATGAYRACATGCAGTTTCAATTATATGTTCAACTTTTATTTTGCCCACGATAATGAGAAGAAACCAACTGGCACTCCCATGCATATTTCAGAATTTCATGCAGTTGTGCTGCATGGATAAATTGAACAGATCCTTCAGATAGATGAAAATATTTTATGAAAACATGTAATAGGATAAAGAAAATCAATGCACTATAACCTGCATGTGATTACAACTAACCTTCTGCAATCTGGTTTCCCAAAGTGAAAGATACCAGGACTATCACACAGCTGAATAGGCAGCTAAGAAGTCTTGTTGATTGCAATCACATTCATTTAAGTCCATCATTTTACTTATTTACATATTTCTGAAAATGTAACTGGCATTTGGTGTTGATCTGTGTAGGCATATTTTTAATTATTGACAATGAAATCTGGTTTGACCACTTAACTCTTGAAGAATTAGTTCAGCCAGAAATCAGGATTTTTTAATGCCTGTTGGTRTATCTGCACCTTTCCTTACACCAGTCACTCAACTTTCAGTTGTAAAAGCTAGATGGAAAACAATTTTTTTGATGTTTTCAAAGGTAGGAAGAAATTACACTTTTTTGAGTGGCACTGAGCTTCACAGTAAAAGAATTTTTACAGCTGAATAAATTGTGTGCTAATTGTGTGTGAATAAAGTGTGCTAATTAGAGCTAATTATAACCAAGCTGACATACCTTGCCATGAAAAGGTGTCTTCACATTCACTCTGTCCTTGTTAGATGCCCATTTTACTTCTATTTAATTTTTTTATTTATGGGTGTGGGTATAGTGATCATTCATTCAGATTTTACAATCCCAAGCAGAGGTTACTCAAATCACCCTCTGTCAAATGTCCAGCCATATTCTGTACTCATGATTAAATGTTAAACATGAAATACTGGGGGGAGGGCAGGAAATATTGGTGAGTGAAAAAGTTACTTCTGAAGCAAGATACAGATTTTAGAAAAACTGAAGTTTTCATTTAGACCAGTTTTCTGCACAGTGATGGTAATGTCTAAAAAGGGAAACAGATAYACCAGGCAGTACCATTTTCCTGAGTATGCCAAGAGTTGCTGATCCTTACAGTATTCAGAAATGGACAAGATATTTGTCAAATTCACAGCAGGCACACAGTAACTGAGTGCCAATCTCGGGGTTCCCTTTAAATAATCTACAAACAGCAGATAAGCAATTATTATGTTGCATTTTACCCCATTTTGTGATCATCTGACTCAGGACACCTCAAATAAGCTTGCAGCTAGTAGTTTCTAGTATAAAAAAAAAAGTAGTATTAAATCCTACAGAGAATATTACACCCTAGCAAAAAAATAAGAACAGTTAAAACATTCACTCAAATGCTCAAACTGACTCTATTATCTTGTTCTATGCTGAAAAGATATTTAACACCTTCATCAATAAATGTACTGAGCTTTTATAAACGAACAATTCAAAGTCCTCCATTACAGACTAAGGAAGAAAAAAGCAATATGCAAACACTTTCATAGACATGAACTGCAGTTAAGCCRCAAGTGTTGGACAAAGCAAGCATTAACTACTGCTTAACCATAATTATAGAAGTGACAGTTATTTATTTCTATAAATGGAAAAATCTTGCTAGAACAAAAACTCTCATGCACTGAAAAATGGAAATATACCCATATATTTGGTAGCTCAGTAGACCATCCTGCAGCTTCACTGTAGCCCACCAGAGAAATTCACATACTAAGAACCCAAATGTCCTGCCTCCTTTGCATTATAATGATTCCAATTTAAAGATGACTCTTGCTTATCAGGTGATCAGACATTAACTCTAAGAGAAAGGACATCAGACCAAGTACAACCTGGAACYAAGGATTCTTACTCTCTACCCAAGTGCTCTACAAAACAAACACATTTCTGAATGAACTAAGTTATGGCTATTTTACAGCGTATTGAAGTCTGCTTCGGGAAAGACTAGTTACATTTTATCTCAAACTTCTCAGACATTGAGATCTAATTTGGAATGCAGCTCCTCAAGACTCAGTAAAACAAGAACCACCGCTTCTTAAAAACACCCTAGAAGGCGAACTTTTCAGCTAAAAAGCTGCTAAGAAATGAGAATTGAGAAATGAAGTTAAGAATTATTTGGAAAAGAACTCCAAAGGCAGCTGAGCTTTATTTTGGCTCTTAAATTATTTTTACATTCAGAAAAATTAAACTGCTTTAYAAATAAATACAAGAGCATCCCAGCAAGGAGGTGCCACAGAAAAATCACTTACCTCTAAAATATTTTTTTCCTTAAATTATCATTGTGCTGGCCTCCGCAAACTGCTCATGGAACACCCACCTACTGCCACAGACACAATTTCTATTCATATTGCCTGAAAAGGGCTTAAAAAAGCCTCAAAGTGAATATTATCGATAYGTGACATRTCAGGAAAGAAATACATAACTGGCYTGTCTGTCAAAGATCAGTAAGGTGGTCAGCCTAGGAATAACATTTTAATAGTATCAATGTCTGTCAGGAAGGCACACAGAGTGCTGCCAGGTAAAAGCTCTGCCCAGCCTCTGGAGGCCACAGGATGCCAATAGCTTCTTCCATGTACTAGGGCAAAAATTAAGGGCTGAAACAAATTTATTTGCAAAACAGCTGGAGCGGGCAAAAGCAATCTCTGCAGACTCATTTTAGAGGAAACACATATCTGCTTTTGAGAGGGACAATTTGAGTATATTCATAAGGGATTTTTCAAATATGGAAATATGGATATAGCATATCCTCACTAATTTATTGCTGCTGTAACAAACTGCATGGTTGGTCAGGGGAATAAAACCTAACAAAACAGAATATTCCACTGAGTATACTTCTCCAGTGATTTAAAACACGTGCCTAAGAAGAGAATTGCCTAGTTCTGCACTGATAGTTGAAGAAAGTCATCACCCCTTCTGTTCAGAAGAGCAGCAAACCTAAGAATGCTAAAGGTTTACGCAGACCTAGCAGAGAGTATCCTCTAACACCTCTAATCCAGCAAATGTGSATTSTGGRGRATTTGWGGTGAAGAGACTGCAAGAAGTGGCYGGGACTGTAACTATTGTGGTGTCACTAACCTATCTCTCCATCACCACTGGCAGGGACTGGGATGGATGGACTGTAGGAGGCTGCAAGGCACCCCTTCAGTTCTCATGTACATCCTGCCAAATAGCTGTGCTTCACCATAAACATACAAGGATCAATTTTTTCACCCAATAGATATCCAAAACACATTTCAAAGCTTTGAATTTTTAACTA